GAACATGGGGGTAAATGATTTGGGAGCAAAAATATCCCTTTTGTTGTGTTATTCGAAGTCACTGACAGGACCATTATTCCCTCCCTTTATTGTCTGGCCACTAAAAGCACCGAATGTGATTTTTCACTGATGAAATTAAAATTTACAGTCTTAGCTAATCAGGGAGAGGGTTCTGTGCTGTACGTGATAAGGCTGCTCATTACAACGATCTGTCATTAAACAGCCACCAGGCTGAACTGCTATTCCAAAACTGTTTCAATTGGGATTCTGGGCAATTCCTACAACCTGCTTCATTGTTTTGTCTTTTGCAACTGCTGAATTTTTAAGCCCCAATTCCTTTTCTTTACACTAACCACTGACCAACATTTAAACTAAGCTGAAATGGGAATGCTTTCAATGCAAGTCCTAGTTTCTCTTCATTGATATATTGATTTTCTATATATCAGTAAAAAGAACTCTCCTTTTAAACAGTACTTGACAGATACTGCCATTCAGAGAATGTACCATATTCAGGTCCAGCTTGCTGTGCAAGGTGCTAACACTCAGACTGAGCAGATTCCTCCTGCCCTCAGTCAGTCTCTACTCAGCCAGAGTGCAGCTCAGTCTCTACTCAGCCAGAGCTCAATGAGTAAAACTCCTATCTCTAAGAAACTTGCAGTTTCAAGTCCCATTCTAGTGACTGTGTCATACCTTTGGCTGATGCCTCCAGATGGTACTCAGGTAATCATTTGGGCTGCCAAAGCAATGGCTTTTAATTGGATGAAGGAGCTGGTGTTCAAAGAGAGAACAATTGGAGAGATCTCAGAATGTCTTGATGAGGGATGAAGATGGAGAGAACTTGAACATCTATGGTGAACGGGATACAATTAGGGCCAGGAAACCGGAAATGGCTCAAAAGGTGTTAAGCATCAGAAATGTTGGAGATGTAAGTTGGAAGAAACTGGGCAAGGGATGAGAAAATAGGGTTGAGGTGGGAAATGTATCAGCACTAGGGAAGGAGGCAGTCATGGGCTAAGAGTGTTTGGAGAATTATGAGACTGTAGAAGAAAGATATCCATAAGAGATGACACCGGAGGCAATTTTGGAAATGATAGCTTCATGTTCAGTTGTGGTGTCATGACCTGGAGAAGGCCGGAAGATAAATGCAGATCATGAATTTCCTTTGATTTTTCCAGAGAAGCTGTTTGTGATGGTTCTATTTCCAGTCCACTTCCTCAGTTTAGCCATTATTATCTCTTTTTCCTTGCACTATCACTTTTTTTGCCACTAATCTCCCGTTTCACAAATCTTTCCTTTTGTTCTTGTTTTCCTCCATCCCTTTCCTCACTCTTATTATACCTCTAACTTTACTTCTCGTGTTTATTATGATCCACTATACTTCTGGTGAAAAGATCATTGCCCTTAAAGATGTGCTTTTCCTCTCTTCACTATTGCTGCCTGACCTGCTGAGCGTTTCCAACTTAAATTCAGATTCCCTGCGTCTGCAGTATTTGGCATTTGTCGAGAGGAGATGCTAGATGTCTTAAAACACATAAAGGTGGATAAATCCTCAGGATTGGATCAGGTGTACCCCAGAATTTTGCAGGAAGCCAGGGAAGTGATTGCTGGGCCCCTTGCTGAGATATTTATGTCATCGATAGCCATGGGCATGATGCTGGAAGACTGGAAGTTGCCTAACGTGGTGCCATTATTTAAGAAAGGTAGTAAGGAAAAGCCAGGGAACTATAGCCTGGTGAGCCTGATGTCAATGGTGGGCAAGTTCCTTTATTCATTTAACGGGATGAGGGCATCACTGGATAGGCAGCATTTATTGCCCATCCCTAATTGCCCAGAGGCAGTTTAAAGTCAACCACATTGCTGTGGGTCTGGAGTCACATGTAGGCCAGACCAGATAAGTATGGCAGTTTCCTTCCATAAAGGACATTAGTGAACGAGATGGGTTTTCTGACAATCGACAATGGATTTATGATCATCATTCGATTCTTAATTCCACATATTTAATTGAATTCAAATTCCACCATCTGCCGTGGTGGGATTTGAACCCGGGTCCTCAGAACATTATCTGGGTCGATGGATTAACAGTCCAGCGATTACATCACTAGGCCATTGCCTCCCCCTATTATTGGAGGGGACTCTGAGGCACAGGATTTATATGTATTTGGAAAGGCAGAGACCGATTAGGGAGAGTCAACATGGCTTTGTGTGTTGGGAAATAGTGTCTCACTAACTTGATTGAGTTTTTTTTTGAAGTGACAAAATTGATGTGGGCAGAGCGGTGGATGTTGTCTATATGGACTTCAGTAAGGCATGCAACAAGGTTCCACATGGTAGACTGGTTAACGAGGTTAGATCACATAGAATACAGGGAGAACAGCCATTTGGATACAAAACTGACTCAAAGAGAGAAGACAGAGGGTAGTGGTGGACGGTTGCTGTTCAGACTAGAGGCCTGTGACTGGCTATCTGCCACAAGGATTGGTGGTGGATCCACTGCTTTTCGTCATTTATATAAATGATTTGGATGTGAATATAGGTGGTATGGTTAATAAGTTTGTAGACGACACCAAAATTGGTGGTATAGTGGACAGTGAAGATGGTTACCTCAGAGTACAACAGGACCTTGATCAGAGGGCCAACGAGTAGCAGATGGAGTTTAATCTAGATAAATATGAGGTGCTACATTTTGGTAAGGCAAATCAGCGCAGGAATTATATACTTAATGGTAAGGTCCTGGGAGTGTTGCTGAACAAAGAGACCTTGGAGTCAAGTTCATAGTTCCTTGAAAGTGGAGTTGCAGGTAGAACAGGGTAGTGAAGAAGGCCTTTGGTACACTTGCCTTTATTGGTCAGTGCATTGAGTATAGGAGTTGGGAGGTCATATTGCGGCTGCACAGGACATTGGTTAAGCCACTTTTGGAATACTGCATTCAATTCTGGTCTCAAAGACGTTGTTAAATTTGAAAGGGTTTAGAAAAGATTTACAAGAATGTTGCCAGGATTGGAGGATTTGAGCTATTTGGAGAGGCTGAATAGGCTGGGGCAATTTTCCCCAAAGTGTTGGAGGCTAAAGGATGACCTTATAAAAGTTTATAAAATCATGAGGGGTATGGATAGGTTGAATAGTTGAGGTCTTTTCCCTAGAGTAGGGGAGTCCAAAACTAGAGGGCATAGGTTTAAGGTGAGAGGGGCAAGATTTAAAAGGGACCTTGGGGCAGCTTTTCACGTAGAGGGTGGTGCATGTGGAACGAGCTGCCAGAAGAAGTAGTGGAGGCTGGTACAATTACAATATTTAAAAGGCATCTGGATGGTTTATGAATAGGAAGGGTTTAGAGAGACATAGGCCAAATGCTGGCAAATGGGACTAGATTAATTTAGATGTCTGGTTGTCATGGGTGAGTTGGACCAAAGGGTCCGTTTCCATGCTGTAGGTTTCTATGATGCTATGAAATGAGTTTAATCATCCGAGTCCCTGATGGATGGCAACCAAACCACAGTTGGTTCTATATTATCAAACACATCTGGAGAGATCAAAGGATTGGCAAACTTCCATTCATGCAACAACAGGTACATTTCCGTGATTAAAGTTAAAGCATTTGTTGGAGCTTTACTCAGTATAAATAAACTGGACTTGGACTGCTTGATGCTAGATGTCCCTGTCCCCAGAAATTTTGTTTTTTAATACACTTTTGGGACATGACTGTTGCTGGCTGTTGAGCATTTATGGCTTGTCCCTAGTTGCCCTTGAGAAGGTGGTGGTGCGTGGCTTGCTAGGCCATTTCAGAATTCCAGTTGAGAATCAAACACATTGCTGTGGGTCTGGAGTCACATGTAGGCCAAACCCAGGTGAGGATGGCAGATTTCCGTCCTTGAAGAACATTAGTGAGACAGATGACAAATGACAATGGTTTCATGGTCCTCAGTATATTCTTAATTCCAGATATTTTTTATTGAATTCAAATTCACCATCGGTCATGGTAGGATTCAAATCCAGGTCCCTGAACCCTGCAGCCCAATAGTATCAATGTGGACTTCACAAGCTTCAAAATCTCCCCTCCCCCTACCGCATCCCAAAACCAGCCCAGCTCGTCCCCGCCTCCCTAACCTGTCCTTCCTCCCACCTCAACCCCTACCCCCATCTCCTACCTACTAAACTCATCCTGCCCCCTTGATCTGTCCGTCTTCCCTGGACTGACCTATCTCCTCCCTACCTCCCCACCTACACTCACCTTTACTGGCTCCATCCCCGCCTCTTTGACCTGTCTGTCTCCTCTCCACCTATCTTCTCCTCTATCCATCTTCTATCCGCCTTCCCCTCTCTCCCTATTTATTTCAGAAACCCCTTCCCCTCCCCCATTTCTGAAGGAGGGTCTAGGCCCGAAACGTCAGCCTTCCTGCTCCTCTGATGCTGCTTGGCCTGCTGTGTTCATCCAGCCCTGCACCTTGTTATCCCCTGAACATTAGCTGAGTTTCTGGATTAACAGTCTAGCAATATTACCACTAGGCCATCACCTCCCTTTCATTTCAGTGAGCACATATTAATGACCAGTGGTTATGTCTGCAGTGAATTGATAAATAGGTCAATTTCGATAAGACAAGCTGGTGAGGGTCTAGGCCCGAAACGTCAGCCTCCCTGCTCCTACGATGCTGCTTGGCCTGCTGTGTTCATCCAGCTCTGCACCTTGTTGTCAAAGGAAAATACTTGCCTTACAGTGTCACCTAGGGATCAGAAACTGCAACTACTTTGTGATCGTTGACATAGAAAAACTGAATGGGAAATGGTAACAGAATGATTACATGTTGGCAAAGTGGTGTGACCAAAAATAAACAAAAAGAACAAAGGTTTGTGCACACAATCACTCAGCATTTTCTGCTGTCATCTGTACTGTGGCCGTTATAACCACATTACTTATAGAATTTGTGCTGTGAAGTGAACAAACTGAGTACAAATAGATTGCCTTGTTTTTAACGGGTTGCAATGTTTCAGAGTCAAGAAAAACTTACTCTTGGTGTTATACATGAGACTCAGCCAGGCGCCTTTGGTATCATTTTCATATGTCTCCAGATGTTCCCATATAAATACATTTTCTGTTTCATCAAGAATGGAAAGCAGCTCAGCTCCGTGCACTGTTCAAAAATAATTACAAAGAAATTTCAAGAGAAAAACAGAGTGACTGCAGAACACAACTTGGTTATTGTACAACACCTTTGACACAGTGGCTCAGTGGTTAGCACTGCTGCCTCACAGCGCCAAGGACACGGGTTTGATTCCAGCCTTGGGTGACTCTCTGTGTGGAGTTTGCACAATCTCCCCGTGTTTGCATGGGTTTCCTCTGATTTCCTCCCACAGTCCAAAGATGTGCAGGTTAGGTGGACTGGCTATGGTAAATTGCCCGTAGCCACCAGGGATATGTAAGATTGGTGGATTAACCATGGGAAATGCAGGGTTACAGAGATAGAATGGGGTGGGTCTACGTGGGATGCTCTTTGGAGGGCCGGTGTGGATTTGATGGGCCAAATGGCCTGCTTCCACACTGCGGGGATTCAATGATTCTAACACCCAGTTTCTACAAGATGGCTAGAGAATTTCTCATCTCTATAATTGTGTATTTTACTTACTTTTCCGACACAACTGAGCTGCCTCTTTGGGAGTTGCCTTCTTCTCCAAGTGGAAGGAGTAACAATGATCACGGAAGGGGATCCAGGAAGAATCCTGCAGGCTGGTTGGACAAGTTCCAGTGAAAGTTGACTTGCTGGACCAGGAGTCTGAGAATTAAAAAAATCAGAATATGACCAGGAAGTGTTTAAATTCTGAATCCAGCAATAGAAGCAATTGATTCAAAAGAGGTCATTTCCTCTTGGTGAACTGCCTACCTGCTGCTAACTATCAATGAACAGGTATACTGGTATTTACGAACAGGAGGAGGCCATTCATCCCCTCAAGCTTGTCCCAACCTTCAATTAGATTTTAGTTGATTTAGCACCTTAACTCCACAGCCCATGGGATTGTAAATCTAAACTGAATTAAGTTTCACTGGTGGAATTTCTACTGATGGCCTTTGGTTTGCTAGTCCATAATTCACAATCGCCAAGTTCTGTAGATACTGGACATAAAAATAGAAAATGCTGAAAATATTCAGCAGGTCTCTGGGGGGAAAAACAGAGTAAACAGTTCAGGTTGACAATCTTCCATCAGACCTGCACAAAGTTTAGAGATGGTAACAAGGGCACAGTACAAAGAAAGTACAAAAGGAAGGTCAGTGATAAGGCAGAAGGCAGGAGAGATTACAGAATGAAACAGAGATGATGCTGCAAGGCAAAAGGCATAACTACTGGACAACTCCATCCACGGACTGAGTGAGGATTAACCCTCAACTCATTTTATGTAAACCATATTCTCTGTTCAATGTAATTTGCATTGAAAATGTGTCATGAGCATTTCTTAATTTATTCTCAGGATGCAGGCATTGCTGGCTGGCCAGTATTTACTGCTTATCCTGAAGTGCCCTTGAGAAGCTGCTGGCAAAGCTGCCTTCTTGAACTGCTGCAGTCCATCTATAGGTAGGCCCACAATGCTGTTTGGAAGGGAGTCCCGGGATTTTGACCCAGTGACACTAAAGCACTGGTGATATTTTTCCAAGTCAGGATGGTGCGTGGCTTGGAGGGGAACTTAGTCACAAATGGCACCGAATATTGTACAATTAACAGCAAACATCCCCACTTCAGACCTTATGATAGATGGAAAGTCATTGATGAAGCAGCTGAAGATGGCCTTGGACTCTTCCCAGCGGAACTTGGTGCTAGAGTTTAAATGAGTAACCTCCAACAACTACAACCATCTTTTGTGCCGGGTATGACTTACCTGAGGGCAGGAAACAAATCCAAAAGTACCTACCTTGGTGTAGCCTCCAGTTCTGGAGATAATAACTTTTACTTATTGAGTTCAAACCAACAAACATTGCCACATTCTCTTATGGAATAATTGGCATACTCTGACTGACTTAATAAAGATTAGGCTAACTGCAACTCAACAGCAACAACTTGAATTTATGTGGTGCCTTTAAGATAGCAAAGCATCCCAAAGTTCAGTTAGCGATACTCTCAACTCTGCGTCAAAGCCATGGATTCAAGTCTCCTCCAAATCCAATCTTGAGCTCTGTTAATTAGGTTGACACTCCAGTGCAGTATTGAAGGAGTGCATTGTCAAGGCTGCTGTCTTTTGGGTGACACATCAAACTGAGAGCCTAGCTACCCCGTTCACATGACTGTAAAACATGGTTCTGTGCTATTCTGGCACCAGTTTTTGCTGACATTCTGAAAAGTATTTAACTTTCAACCAACAATGACAATGAAAAGGTCATATCTTTACTATATGGGCAGATTTGCTATGCACAGATTGGCTGCCACATCGTTTATTACCGTGGTGATTACACTTCAAAAAAGCGTAATGAGCAACAAGTTGTAAAGTGCTCTTTATAAATAAGATTCATTCTTTAAAAGTATGGGAATTAATACTTACCATTGTTGCATCGACTCCTGCCTCAATAACTCCATTCTGATTTTCTCTTATTAAACAAAAAACCATCACAGTTGACAGGGTATTTAACTGGAATGCTGCTTACTGTCCTTTTCAGCATATCTCATCACCAAGGCTGTCTGACCTGCATACATTTATGACATTTTCTGTTTTCATTTCTTTATTGGTATTGGTCTAGTGATGTCAGTTGAGTTGTAAGCATTAGCCATAGTGCTGAGAACTACAGAAGTTCTAGTTGCATAGTGCTATAAAATGTTTAGATGTATACCTGAGGGGGCAGATTGGGCCTCACTTTAACATGTCACCCCAAAGCAGAGTAGAACAAGTGAAGATGCTGCCTTGAGTGATCTTCAGCAAAGGAACTTGGCTTGTGGAAGAACAGGGAAGCTGAGCAAAGTGGCAGAGAGAGAGCACGGAACACCTGCCTAAGCTGATGGGAGAATGCAGCGCACACACTGAAGGTGTCTAGAACGGATGTCATTTTAATATCAAGGCACCAGCTTTGTTTTGTCAGCCAACAAATCTACAGCTGAGAAAACAGAACCAAACAACAATGATACAACATTTTGTTAACATTAAATTTTGCACAGGGAACAATTACATACTGAGACTGAACAGAGTACTGCCAGGAATCCCAATATTTATTGCACAAAATCCTGGAATCCCTGTCCAAATGGCACTGCAGGATTTCAAGAAGTCGGTTCACCACCACCATCTCAAAGGCAATTTGGAATGGACAGTAAACGCTGACCTAACTAGAGATACCCATATTCTAAAAAAGAATAAAAATGAACTTCCTAATGTCCGGCTATACAAAATATATCCAGCCTGCTGCTGAGATGATACAAGGCGAGATGCCACCTCTTTGTAAAATAGAGGGAATCAAATATTGGAGGTTGATAAGGCACACTTTTTATTCTGAGCATTGACCCTTTATCTTCTGAATCCAATCTGTTGTCACAGTTCTGTGCTCATTTCCCAGAGGGTGGCTATCAGACTAGCAATGCCTGACTTCCTACATTCTGGCCAGCCAAGCCCTTGTTGCCTCTGGTATAATGTGGTTCGAGACTCAATATTTTGGGGTCCCACTACTTAGTTATTCTGTGCCACCAGTGACAAAACAGTCAAATATTCAGGGTTTTGTTTCTCAACATGGAGAACAATAATAGGATGATGGAACTGTGGGAGAATATGTTGTCAAAATGCAGTTATGAAAAGTACAGAAGGAGGTATATAGCTAGATACAGATATATAAAGAGAGATACAGATTGATAGAAGATACATAGGGGAGAGAGAGAATAAATAAATGACAAGAAGTTGGAGTAGCTGCTGGTTGCCTGCCTCTGGTAGCAACGAATGAATACTGTAAATTTAGAAAAGCAAACTCCTTTCCAAACAATGTGGAGAAAGTCTCTTATGAAAATTTCACATCATCTTGTCCTCGTTCGAGTGTGACATGAAAGACGTCTGGACTGGTTATGTTGTGGAGCTGCAATCTGGCTTCCCACCAGCAGATGGGGGTGAGAGTGTCACTGGGGTCTGCAGCTTTCAAAATGCTACGACAGCAACACCTGCAGAGAGGGCCGTTCACTTGTCATGACTGAGGAACGACTATGAATACTCTTACATAAGGAAAGGATCATTGCGAGACTGTCACCCTGATCATTATTAATGGAATTTAGCAACATGACTAATTCAGAACCTACAAAAAGAACACTTTTATAACAACACACACTTTCAAACAGGAGTCTTGAAAACAAAGAACTTGTATTTAGATAGTGCCTTTCATGACCTTGGCATATCCCAAATTGGTTTACAGCTAGTGAAGTGCAGTCACTGTTGTAATGCTAAACAGTCCTGTGTAATATTCTTAATCTTTTCATCTCCTGTAATAAAGTGCTTATGTTCCTTCATAGAATATTTTCACACGATGAGTATGAGTTGAGTGGTTACCATTGCCACACCAACCAGTGCCTGTGTTGTACCACTTCGACTCAACAGATAGTTGGTTTGAAGCTCCAGTGCGGTAGGAGACAGAGGGTAATTATAAGTTGAGAGAGGAGGAAAGGATTGACAGGTCAGTGGGGTGGGCCTGGGGAATGAATTGGGGACTTTGTGGGGACAGGCAATTCAATGGAGATACAAAAGAGAAGTACTTGAATCAGTAAGTAAGATTAGATGAAAAGGAAGACCAGATGCTCAAGAATCCCAAAGAACAGAAAGTCATAAAAATAAACAGCATAGAAGACAAGGGCTTTATTCCTTATCTACAGTGAAGGTTGTCAGCTGTCAGTTTTTAAGGAGAATGCCCAAACTATTCCAAGAGGTTCTGCTGTGATGTTTAATGGTAAGTCTGAATGGAGAGGCTGTTACACAAGATAGTTAGGACCTGAAAGAGCTAACTAACATAATGGGTAAGCTGTGTTTACATTTTGTTTTAACGAATTTATGGGATGTGAGCATCGCTGGCCAGGTCAGCATTTACTGCTTGTTCCTAATTACTCAAAAGGCAGTTAAGAGTCAGCCACTTTCCTCTGGTCTGGAGTCAAATAGATAGATTTCCTTCTCTAAAGAACATCAGTGAACCAGATGGATTCTTCTGACAATCGACAATGGTTTCATGATCGTTAGACTCTTAATTCCAGAATATTATTGAATTCAAATTTCACTGTCTGCCATGGTGGAGTTCGAACCTGAGTCCCCAGAACATTACCTAGGTCTGGATTAGTAGGTAATTCCACTGGTTCTGAGAAGAACTAAACAGCCTTCAGTGCACTGTGCCAGGATCTCTCTAAACTGTCTACTAGAATTAGTGTACTAAGTTGAGCCTAAGGTCTCAAAAAAGACAGTCATAATGTAATAAGTCATTGAGTAATATGTAATAAACAGATCCTTGTCAACCAAGAGAGAGCCAACTTCTGTTAAAGACGCTGCAACTCTGGGACCAGTATAGTATAGATTATTACAGGTTGATGAGATTGTAATAGAAAGATTAATCAGAAAAGTCTGACGTTTCGGGTCGGGACTTCGTCAGCCATTTCTGAAGAATGGTCCCGACCCGAAACATCAGCTTTCCTGCTCCTCTGATGCTGCGTGGCCTGCTGTGTTCCTCCAGCCCACACTGTGTTATCTCTGACTCCAGCATCGGCAGTTCTTACTATCTCTTAACCAGAAAAGTCTTCCTTGTTAGCTCAAACCTTGAAGGTAAGAATCTGCCCAAGGAAGTTAAGGAGTTACAGATCTGAGTATTGCAGGGACAGGATCATCAAATCATTGTTGAATAATAACTATGTACAGGACCACTGAAATGATACAGCAGGGAAGGGGGCCATTTGATCTAGCTTGTCAATGCCGACCTAAAGTCATCCAGGTGCCCTTTCTAATCCCATCATCCCGCACATGGCCCATAGCCCTGCAGCTTATAACACCAGAAGTGCAGATGCAGGTACTTTTTAAAAAGAGCTTAGGGTCCCTACCTCCACCACCAACTAAGGCAGTGAATTCCAGACACACACACAACCCTTTGTGTAAACAGGTTTTTCCACAAATCCCCTCTAATCCTTCTGCGTGATCCTGGTTTTTGATCTCTCTACTAGAAATAGGGTTCCTCCTGTCTACTCTATCTCTACCCCTTACAATTTTGCATACCTCAATCATGTCACCCCTCAGCCTTCGCTGCTCCAAGGAAAATGACCCCAAACTCTCCAATGTCTCCTCATACCTATAATTCGCCAGCCCTGGCAACATTCTAATAAATGTCTGCACTTTCTCCACAGCAATTATATCCTTTCTGTAATGTGGTGACCAGAACAGCACACAGTACTCCAGTTGTAGCTTCACCAGTGTCTTATACAATTTCACCATTAAATCCCTAATTTTGTATTCTATACTTCTTGCAATGAAGGAGGGCATTCCATATGCCTACTTTACAACCTTATCCACGTGTACTGCTATCTTTAGGGACCTGTCATTTCACTTACCCCTCTTAGTATATTCCCGTTTATTGTGTATTCCCTTTTACTGTTTGAATTCCCTCAATGCATTACCTCACCCTTATCAGAGTTGAACTCCATCTGCCACTTTTCTGCCCACTCCACCAACCCTTTAATTTCATTTGAGCTTACAGCCATCATCTACACTATCCACTAGATGGTCAATTTTTGTGTCATCTGCAAATTTCCACATTTGTGACCCCAAGTTCAAGTCCAAATAGTTAATGTATAAAACAAACAGCAGGGGTTTCAACACAGATCCTGGTGGAACACCACTTGAAACAGCTTTTCATTTGCAAGGAAAGGTTTTCTGTTACTAAGCCAACTTTGGACATGTACATTGATTCATATAGGTTGTCAAATAGCAAAATTTGAGAAATACAGATATAAAAGAGTGGGTTTTAAGACAGGTACCTTGCACTTAGAAGGTCAACCTGGGAGGCAACAGAACTGACAGCGTAACATGTTTTAGATTTTTAAACTAATAACTTGAAGATACTGGTGTTCAGTAAAAGTTTAATTATTGGTAATAATATTGTTTGGATGTTACAATCTAGAGTGGGTTGTTAAAAATGGTGAAAACCATTTGTTGTTGGAAAAGAGCAGGGGAATGGGACCAACTGAACAGCTGTTTCAAAGGGTCAAAGATAGTACACACTGTTGTTACCGAGCACTGGTGGTGGAAGGAGCAAATGTTTATGGATGTGGTGGCAATCAAGCAGCCTGTTGTCCTAGATGGTGTCAAACTTCTTCAGTGTTGATGGAGCTGCATCCATCCAGGCAACTGGGGAATATTCCATCACACTCAAGACTTGTGCCTTGTAGACAGGCTTTGGGGAGTCAGGTGAGTTACTTGCTGCTGTTGTATAATTATTCTCTGAATAAATATTATTGTAACATCCGTCTACCTCTGCGATAATCACTGTGAACACTTTCATTTTGAGGGATAATTTGTAAAACAGAACACCCATCTTACAACTTCACCCTGGGCACTCTCAATATAACAAAAAGCCACATTTATATGCTGCTTTTTACATCATAAAATTCCCCAGGGCACTTCATAGGAGCAACAGAAAATATAACACCAAATCAATAAGGAGATATTAGGTTAGATAGTCAAAAGATTGGATAAAGAGGTAGGCTTTAAAGAGTGTCTTAAAGGGGGAAAGTGAGATCAAGTCACAAAGAAATGCAGGGAGAAAATTCCATTTCTTGGAACTAAGGCAGCTGAAGACATGGCCATTGACGGTGCAGTGATGAAAATCAGGCAAGAATTAGATGAATGCAGATACCTTGGACGGATGTTTAAAGACTAGGATTATAGAATCCCTACAGTGTGGAAACAGGCCCTTCGGCCCAACAAGTCCACACGTCCCTCGGAACATCCCGCCCAGACCCATCCCCCTATAACCCACCTAATCTACACATCACTGAATACAACAGGCAATTTAGCATGGCCAATCCACCTAGGCTGCACATCTTCAGACTGTGGGAGGAAACCGGAGCGCCCGGAGGAAACCCACGCAGACACGGGGAGAATGTGCAAACTCCACACAGACAGTTGCCTGAGGGTGGAATCGAACCCTGGTCCCTGGCACTGTGAGGCAGGAGTGCTAACCACTGAGCCACCGCGCCGCCCTAGTTCAACCATAGGCTATTGTCAGGGAGAGGGATGGAGGGATAGGTAATTTGGAGCACGAGTGGAAACAATGACTTCAGCTTTTCCAATAATTATTTGAAGGAAATTTCTGCTCACCCAGGACTAGGTGTTAGACAAGCAGTTTGAAAATTAGCAAAAGTGAAGGGATTGAGTAAAGTTGCGTTAATGTAGAGCTGGATGTCATCAGAATACACGTGTATTTGCACGATATCACCAAATGGCAGTATATCAATGGGGAGGAGATGTCACTAGAGGTAAAGGTGCAGGAACAGGACGAGAAGCCATTGCACATAATCCTCTGGCTATAATTAGACAGATCAGAATGGAACCAATTGAGAGCAGTTGCACCCACCCGAGCTGGAGAGGTGTTGGAGGAGGACAGTGTGTGTCATAGGCTGCAAACAGCTTGAGAAGGATGAAGAAGAAGGGTTGACCTTTGTCACAGTCACATGGGATGTCACCTGGTACTTTGATCAGAGATGTTTTAGTGCTGAAAGAAGTGGAAATCTGATTTAAACATGGAGTTCCAGCGTGGTAATCCAGGTATAGGTTTGAGGGGTGACAACACAATTAGGACTTTGGAGAATTATTTAGAGTTTTACAGATAGAAACAAACACATCAGACCACTCAGCTGGCCATGTTGTACATTGCAGCAGCCTCTTCTATCTCTCTTTCAGCCTTTTGGACTTAAAGTGGCCTAGTCCCCGTTGCTTCAGTGCACATGGAACCTACCTCCAGGCACTTTGCAGATTGCTCCATTCAGCTTCGTCTCACAGGAGGATGGTCGCCATGTCCCGTCTACATCCATGTGAACACAGCCCATCTGCCGTGGCTCCCCTTCCTGCCAGTTGGTGTAGTCTGACTCCTCCCCGCTCAGCCAAGAAAAGACCCTGTCTCCCTGTGTAGGATCACAGCCATTACTCATTGAGGCAGTTGGACAGGGAGAAAAGACAGCAAGAGAGAAGGGGAGAGTGAAGGGGTGTTAAGGGGAAGGGGTGAGAGGGGAAGGAGAGATAAAGAGTGGGGGAAGGAAAGAGAGAAAGAGTGAGAGAGAAGAAGTGAGTGAGAGAAAGAAAGAGCAAGAGAGAGAGAGAGAAACAGAGAGAAAGACACAGAATGAGAATGAATCAGCGAGAAACAGGGAACAACTAAAAGAACCTAGAACCCTTCATATGTAAAACACCCTAAAATAATTTACAGATGTATTACAATGCAAAATATGACACTGAGCCACATAAGGAGATATTCGATCAGATAATCAAAAGCTTAGTCAAAGTAATTTTTGAGGAGTGTCTTAAAAGAGCAAAGTGCAATCAACAATGAAGGAGAGATGTAGGGAGGCTCAGCCACCTGATTAAAATCAGGGATGATCAAATAGCCAGAACTGGAGGTGGACATGTCTCTCAGAGGCTAATAGGTTACCAGGATGTCACAGAGCCAAGGGAAGCCAAGGAGAATTTGCAATGCAATTCTTCTTAACCAGGATCCAGTGCACACTAGTCAGCACAGGGGCGATGGAAGTGAGTCAACATTGGAATGGACCCCTTACCTGATATTGTGGAACAGTCACTGGCTACCCTGGGTTTACTGAACATGACAGCCCTTCTTTTGGGGATAATTGCAGAGTGGGTTGCAGGGCTGGGTCTCAACTGGAGAGTGTGTAGAATAGTGCCTCTCGGGCAGTTTTACTTTTGGAGGTCAGTGGCAGATAGAGAAAGTGGACAGAGGGAGAAATCCTCAAGAGGGCTGGATTGCTAATACTGCAGGGTTGACCCGCAGTCTCTAGAAATTCAAGTTTAATCTCTATGAAAGAAAACAATCTTTATTCAACTTTCTGGAATTGGCAGATAATCATGTGGAAAACAGAACTACAACAGATTTAGCAATTATAGAGAGATATGGAATGAACAAAACAAATCAATTCAAAGGGAATAAAAGTAACCAGCTAGTGTCAATTGTCAGATTTGTGACTAAGAGCCCATTTAAATCTGAACCCAGAAACACTATGAACAATATTCCTATTAACCACATTAAGATCACACACCACCCTCACCCCCTTCCCTATCTAATATCTCAGTTCAAATCTGTAATGTAATACTTTACAGACAGGAGTCACGTTCCACACAGACATGGGCAACACTCAGTGCACAATGCAACCTGAAAGGACTTTGTGCTTCTTTTTGAGAGTGGGATACATCAAAAGGTTAGGAGGTGATCCAAATGGGTCCTGACCCGAAACATCAACTTTCCTGCTCCTCTGTTGCTGCCTAGCCTGCTGTGTTCTTCTATCTTCATACTGTGTTATCTCTGACTCCAGCATCTGCAGTTCTTACTATCTCTAAGGGATTGGGAACAGATCTGTTTTACACCAATTCATCTATGAGGCCAATGTAATCAATATTGACTAGATTTCTGATTAACTCTATTAGCTGTAAAGTGCTTTGGGACATCCAGCAGTTATGAAAAACGTGATATAAATTAAAGCTTTTCTTTATTGGTGAGATATGAGTTGGGGAGCCTCAAATCTGTGCTCTATCTGATTATGAGGATTTTTTGCATGAGTGAGACTAAAATTTCCCTCAGAGGCTGACAAGGTCAGCAGCCTGGTCGTGAACTGGTGTCATCCCCATCAATGGGGGGGGGGCAAGGGCTAAGAATTGGAAAGGTTGGGGTGGGAGCGGGGTGGGAGGTGTTTGGGTGGGATGGAGCGAGTCTGCGAGGACAAAAATATATATCACTGAAATGGAGGAGCTGGTGAACAGGAACAAGACTGTGAGGTGCTCTGTGCTGTTTCTCTTGCAGAAAGTTGTTGCCACAGCGGCGTTGAAATGTCTTCTTCAGATAGGCAGTTGGTAAACAGAGTTTGAGTTCTCCCTTCATGTTTCTTTTAAAAAATGAGACAAAGGAATCATTAGTAGGTGGGGTCAGGGCTCACACAGACACAGGAAGGCTTTTAGTCTTGCTTTCAGTCATTGACGGTTTCTGCTGGTGGCTACAGTGAAGTGTTAGACAGTAAAGTTTCCTCTTAAAAATCAAAAGGGGCAGATTGTTTCTTTCTTCTGAGCTGGAGAGACAGCACATGAGATCCAGAACTGTTTTGCTGGAATGTATTTTTGCCAAAGGGTATGTGGTATGCTGCCTATATTGGAACAGTTCATGTTATTGGTTAAATAATACATTATCTTGTTAAGTATTTCAATAGAGGTAAAGTTATGCCAATTCTTCCCTTTTTTTGTATTTTAATTGTGTTGTAAGAATAAAGTGTGTTTTGCTTAAAGCCTAATGGTGAACCAATCGAATCACGTCTGGAACACAGCGCATTGCACTTGCCTCGAAATAAATAAAAGTTAGGGTCCAGGCTATCTCCTCACAATACTTTGGAGGGTGGGAGGTGGGGTCTGGTCCGGTCCATAACAACACATCGCCTGCCAGTTCCTCATGACATGCCGCAATGAGGAAAGCTAACATTTCTACATGGCAAATCATGTCGATCGATTAGAGAATCCTGCTGACTTCCATAGTCTGTCATCTCACCAACTATTGGGAGAAAAAAACCCCACAACAAATCTAGTAACAGAGTATTACAACACTGACTGTATGGGACATAACATCAGTTGTTGAATAAATTGGTGTTTTATATGACAGAATTTCAGTATTGTTAAAAAAGGAGACCTGCTATCAAACCTTTTTGACTTGTACCTGTCAGGACACTGTTGCAAGATACCGAATTTCAATGTGAATAACAATTGACACTGCATAAGAAAAGGGTGCTGATTGTTTGGCAAGTAGAGTTTAGTACATTGAAGTATTTGCTTGGAGAACATACAAGAAAATAGTTACCCCAAAGATTTTCCTTAAATTCAAAGAAAAGGCAAGTTGAATCTGGCTTAGTGAGACATTTCAGGGAGTATGTACTAGGAAACAGAGGCCTTAAGCTGTTGTTTCATGGAATGCGTGTTTCCAACATAGGAATGGCAGCCTCAAGCCATCTGCACAGCTGCAGTTGACACACACGTACAAACAAATTCTGCGATTTTAGCTGAATTTTAATCAGTTGTGTTTGCCAGAAATGTGACCTTTATTTCAGTGAAAATGTGCAATGCCTGGACATATTCCTTTCATCCTGTGGAGAGCCCTAAGTATGACTATATGTAACTTCTAGCAAATGAACTACATCACGAGTCCAAGTGAAAATGTTAAATTAGTTATTAGTGTGATTTTTGGTCAATTCTGGATTGTTCAGTAAGTGTCATAACATCAACGAATGACATCTAATGGTGGAGACAATGTAATGAGTTTTGCAAGCATGGGCAAATTATGTGTGTTTAGTATCCTACCTGTTGTAAACAGTCAAAAGATCGTGCTGTTTGATACAAACCATCAGTGGTTTGGACATCTGGTCTAATAACGAGCATCACACCAGCACTGAAATTGATGTAACGCTTTACTGATTTGTGTGATAGGCAGAACATCTTTCTGGCTTGACTGCAATATCATGTTAGTGTTTGCTGTTGCATTCTCCATAGCAATGCCCCAGCAATCAGAATCCACTCACCAACTAATCAGCAACCTGTTTTCATACAGAATAAATTGTTGTTCCCTTTGAATTTTGGTATTCTTGCATCTGTCCTGATGAGTGCAAGATGAAAAGCTTGTACAATGTGTCTTTTTATCCATTTGTAGAATAACGTAGCACAGGAGATGCACTGTTTAACCAGAAATGTGACAATAAAATTTGTTGGAGACAGTGAATACCTGAAACTGTAAGCTATTTAGTATTGTAATAGTATATTGGATAAGACAGCATGTGACAAGTTTGTTCTACCCAGTGTTTCTGGGACAGCTCTTTACAAGAACAACTTATTTATTCCCACAACACATTTATTGTTAAGGTCATTCAAATAGCAGTTGCTAACAGATCAGAAGGTCTGAACAATATTTGCTAAATGTAACATTTATTACTGTGGGTTACAACTTGTAAGATGTGCACACACTCAGGTCATACACCTGCCCATTACCCACTCCACCCCTCTCACTTAGCCCAGTTCCTCTACTCTTGCATTCAGGGTCCTCCTTCAACACTCTCATGCAGCATCCCCCCACCGTCCCTCTCACACTCAGCTGCCCCCATCCCTCTCATATGCAGATCTGCCCTCAGCCCCTCTCACAGTGAATTCCCTCTCTGTCTCACTCACACTCAGCTTCCTCCCTCCTTGCACCCCCCCCACTCAAGTTCCCTCCCCCTTTCCTCTCCCTGTCTCTCCCCAATTTCCCTCAGACTCCCTGCTCCTCTTCTAGTTTCTTCTTGATCCTCTCAAACTTGTCTTGTCCCTCTCTCTCACAGCCCACCATTGCCAGTATCAACCATGTTCCCATTGTTGCCCTTTTGAAAAGAATGGAGGATAAATTTGCTGCAAAATCAGCAGTAAATTTGTTTCATCAGCTTAGGTTAAAAATATCCTTAAGGTCTGTGACCGGAAGAGGATTGGGTGAGTATAGAAACTAAGTCGATAACTCTGATTTGAGTTATTTGCTTCCAGGAAGCGTAAACATGGATGTTTATTACTTGGGCTGAATAGTTAGTTTTGATTTGTAATCTCTTTATGTTTCCCTATGTCCTATAACTGGATCATTACATCAACATGATTACAGTTGTATCAGCTCACAATCACAGACACTTTTATTGCACAGATGCCCAGTTTGTAGTGACTGAGCTGTAATTCGGGAATTGCAATATGTCTGCATCAGTTCATTTCAAATTATTTTACCCGAGGCATTTATCATGCTGCTTGGTACTTATTATAAGTAAGAGACTTACGAATTTACACTTCAATCTACAAGGTAAAATCTGGCAAAACAAGAGTTTTAATCAGCAATGTTACCTCTTCATTTGATAGTCCAATCCACAGGGGCAGGCGGACGTTGTTCATAACCTGCGTGAGGAAGGCCTGTTGGTAGGGGTCCACCACCGCGACCAGAGTTTCATTCCGGGTCTCACAAAGCCAGGAAGCTTCCTGCCAAGTCAGAGGCTTCTGGATAACCCTGTAGGTACTATTCATGTAGCTCAGCTTGGACGTTAAGGGAGGTGGGAACTTGGCAGGTGTTGATGGTAGAGATGGGTCTATATAGGAATGAAAATGTTAGGGTCAATGGGACTATACAAAGGGATATTCGCCTCTAGGTAGAAACAAAGTCACTGTACTGCCCCCACACTCCCCTCCCACAACATGTGCATACTGGGCAGTATCTAATCAGCACTAGAGATTTTTGCCATGAACAGTAAAATCACATGTAAGAACAGATAGAGTAGGAAGAGGTTCTATTAATAAACTACCAATGCAAAGAACATGAACTCAAATCTTACTACGGCATTTTATGAATTTGAATTCAGTGTAATAAAGAAAATCTCAAACAAACGCAAGCATAAAGCTGTCAGGTGGTCACAAAAACCAAACTGATTCGTTACTGTCTCATAGAGAAGGAAACCTACAGCCCTCTCAGTCATTCAGTCCAAGGACAACGAGAGAACTCAATAAAATCTGGCTTTGTCAGTTACGCCCAGACCCACCAAATGAATACGTAAATTGACAAAAGTTGAACAGTAATTTCCCAAACCAGCCTTAAATTCAACATGAACCCTGACTAAAGGTCAATCAAGGGCACTGCTTTGGGTTTTTAGCAAATTCTAAACGTTAATGACGCAAGTTTTCTGGAATTGTGTCAGTGTTTAGGGAGCACATTCTGCAGTTCAGTTTCTTTTCCTGTTAAAATTGAAACCCAGGGGCCTCATACATGACGCATGGAAGTGAATGGTGCTAATTGTTACTTAAGCTGCTGACAAATCTAATATTTTGCCAACTGTGCTTTAAGAAAAAAACATTTGCTCAGAAGATTGTCTCACTGCTATTTTCTCAAGGGCAGTTTGAAAGGGAGG